GACAAAGAAGCACCTTGACGCCCTGAGCCATTTTCTACTATACACAGTTTTGGAACATAATAGTGGAACACATGGTATACCTGCCGAGGTGGAAGTTTGTCTGGTTATATGTTACCGTGAGTGCGGGCGTTGTGGGTGTGTGTTTGGATTACGCATCAGTGTGCATGATTTCACAAAAAATAACCAGCTCCTCACCTCCCTCCCCCCCCCCCCGTTCCCCTGTAACATGCTCATTCCATCCAAGGGTATAATTTTGGGAAGTAAACTGTCAAATCTTGCTTCATACTGTAGATTGTCTAAGCCTTTTGATACCTACAGTGCCTACCGTGTATGCTATAACTAAGCTCAATATCTGATACAGCGGATTTTCCGAGCAATACTCGATAATGTTTCAACGTGCATGCTGTCTTCAAGCATCATTGATTAATCTCGTAGCACGCGATAAGGGGGATGAATAAACAGCCCCCAGCGTTTTCGAAATAAAAATCTCTTCTAGACGCCTTCCAGGATAGGTGGAGAATCTATTCTCATAAAAATAAGTGTTCTTCTATATTTGTCCTTCAGTTAAATTTGATCTAGTTGTTACGAAGAAGTATATATGTACAAGTCTCTCTCTCTCTCTCCCTCCCTCCCCCCCCTCTCTCTCTCTCTCTCTCTCTCTCTCTCTGTGTGTGTGTGTGTTTACTTCAGAGAAGATAGTGATATAATATTATTTTCCAATTTTCCGTATTATCCGTGCTTTATAGAAGAAATTGCGTTCTCTAATAATTGCCGACATCCAGCTACTCATTATTCCTAATACATGTATGATATGGCGCTGGAGAAAAGGGACCTCTTGTAGTTAGAGGGAAAATTTTGAAAAATTAGCGTAATTTAGAGCATTTAGAAGTGTACGCAACACGCATTTGAAGGAGGGGAGGCGTATTTTATAGTGAGATGGAAGGGTTAGGGTGTGGGGCGGGGTTGAGGTGGGGGACAAGACCCCGCCCCCCTTTTCCAAGACCCTTATCTGTAGGTGCCATAAATGAACTCAAATTTTAAAAACAGAGACTCTCTTCCCTCAAATGTCATAATACATGGAAATGTGGATCTGCCGAGTTCACGTTTATGTAGCACGTGCAGTGCGTGCCAGGCAAAAATCATTGATCACAGGATTTTAACGATCCATAGCACCATGCGGACATGCGTAAATATAAACACTACAAAATTTGGCTATTGGATTTTAAATGTATCAAATGGTATATGAGACGTCATCGTTGTCCCTCTTCAATGAATAATCTATTAATTGTGTAATCGAAGTTAGCAAAGGTGTGCCCTTTTTTCCATGAAAATACGTCTGGGTCTGTCAGTACGCAAAAAAGCAACAAGACCATAAAATTAAAAACAAATACTGGAAAGCTATTGGGAATATCATGTACACTGCGATGTTAACGTTTTAATATTTCATTCAACCATGTGGTAAAACGTATATGTGAGAGGGTCGATTTGTTGTATTTTATAATTGCTCACCTTTCTCGGGAAATACAGCTCTTATTCCTGGAGCTTGAACAGCGTCCCCATGTGTAAACTAACGCTGGCTTCACCTGGATCACTCGGATCACGTTGCCAAAGCACTCCTCACGAAGTAATCTCGTCAGGTCTGTGAGCTTCCTAGGCGCTCGTCTTAATCATTTCCCGGTTTTCCTAGAAATTGACACCTCACTTCACATCACATAGGTGAAAACGCGTTACTTTAATTCTCCATGTTGGAAATGTGTGTATGTATACTCTGGCTAGCGTTAGTGCATCAGCAAGCAGCAGTGTTGCTGGTGTGATCTAAATAGAAACTATTAAGTGCGTCTGAAGCATAATCTATCGTGCGTATTGATCATTTATGTTTGCCACAGCTGAGTATATTGGGTTTGCGCATGCGTGCTACGTCACCACGCATGATTTCACTGCGCCCAGGTATTGATCTGGGCATGTGTCAAAGTGCTTTATCGAAGCCGTCTCTCCTCTCTCTCTCTCCTTCTCTCTCTCTCATGTCAACGACCAAGTAATTTCTGGGCAAATAGGCCTCGGGGGTATTTAGAGGATCAGGTATATGGCTCAATGCAAAGACTAATTATAAAATGCACGTGCATCTGATTTTGCAAAATTTCAAGCAAAGCACAGCGATGTCTATGCTGGCTTTTAGCTATTATATGTAACAATAAAATCTCATGCACATCCCACGATGTCTATGCTGGCTTTTACCTATTATATGTAACAATATAAATAATGCTTAGTGTGCTGCAAAAACATTTATGTCCTACCTGTAGTTGTTGATTTTGCTTTAAGGTTTTAAGGGCAAAGTATCTGTGTAGTAGGACTAAATGTGTTGGGGCGACTATAAAGTAAAACACAATCAAAACAATAATGAAGATTTCTGGTGATTGGATCAACCACTGTTATCTAAATGTGAGTGTGAGTGTGTGCGCGTGCGTATGCGTGCGTGTGTGCAAGTTCGCCCGTGTGTGTGAGAGAGAGGCACCAATTGTGAAAGGAAAATTAAGACAAGGTTCATAGAATATGAAGCTTTTTCGCCTAATACATTTTGTATAGTTCTTTGCTGCTTTGGGAGATAATAATAATAAAGCGATTATAAATTATTATTATTATTATTATTATTAGATACAGTTTTTGCTGAATTCATACCCCTGGCTCGAAAGAAACATTAGCGTATATATTGTATGGTCACATCTTCAGCAACCTGGGTCTGAGAGACGATTGGAAACTCACTTCTATCATCAGTATATCTCAGTCGCTTTCTGTGTCTGTCAACATTCAGGACAAATCGGCAATGGGGGCAATTTTAACGTAATTTCTGAAACTCGCGGTGACATTTCACGACCAATTGCTATACAGTATACACGTATCTCAAATAAACCGCCTATATGCGTGCAAATGTATATGCTTTGCCGCAAATGCATATCCCTGTGTTTGGGTCGTCTACTCCCACAACTTTCATTTAGTACGCACGGCAGTGGCATATTTAATCTGACGGAATCTAAATTTATCATCTTGATTAACTGCACTGAAAACGCCACCCCCACTGTTTGCTTAAGAATCTATATATGTGCGTGATGGTGTTATTAATATCGTTATCAATAAATATTTAATGTCTCTGAAACAAAGGTGAGCAGAGAGGGTCGTGATATTACAAAGAGTGCATTTTTGTGGCAGAAATGAGCGCCAAGACATGCGTAGGAAGTCCGGTGGGGTAGCTGAGGGGGGTGTGGCCTCCGCGAAAATTACACGAAAATGAGTGTTAAATTGCTTTTCGGCACCAAAAACAGGGCGATTTGACGAGGGAATTCATTCTCACCCAGCAAACACGTCACGTTCGGATCACGTAGCTAGCACGTTGCTATGACGTTATAATGGGCAGATGGTTGAATTTCGCGCGTGTGTAAATTCACAAAAATAACAACATAATAATAAATGAGAGAGAGAGCTTGTAATTAGACAAGCCGCAGAAATGGACTCTTCTCCTCACAGGCTTGAGATGGTTAAGAGGTTTGGAATTTCCTACTCTCCTCATGCCTGGGACCAGCTGGTGCAATGGCGACCTCTTTTCTTTAATTTTGAGAACAAATTTTCGGTGGACATAAGTCTGTGCAAAAATCCACAAAGTGCAGAAATGTACAAATTTACTGAAAAAATCTCTCTGGAAGAGAGCAGTAAAATCTGCTGTGGCGGAATAAGTCGTCTGGTCGGTAAGACTGCTGAAATCTATTCTGGCAATCAAAAAGTATTGCCGTTTTCAAAAACGATTCTGGCAACCAGAATCTAGTCTCGTTTTTCAATAACGATTTTGACAACCAGTAGCTAGTGTCGTCTAAAAAATATGAGGATCGCCTAGAAGGCTATTGGCGAAAAAAAAAATACAATTCTGACACTCATGTATAGGCGAGAAACTAGAGTGTACGGAGGGAGAGACGATAGGCCATCATGCAGTGGCTAACGGCACCGCGGAAGCTGGGCTGGCTGTAGCAGCTGCAGTTTCTCCTCGCCGTGTGCGGAGACCGAAAAAAACTGCGATTGATGTCTGCGGCGCCCGGTCCAACGTGACATAGTCCCCCATGATATAGAGTCCGTTTCCCATTCATTTGTACAGGCAAGCCTCGCCCTAGATTTTTGACCTACCTAGGTCAGGTTAACCCTAACCATTATAACTAAATGGACAGTTTACTTTTTGTCACAAGGACCCTCAGTTTTGTTACACCGGGTACCTTCACCGTAACGGTCTCGGGAGGACGATGCAAATCGGTGTCTGTCAGGGCAGGGCTCTTCTGCAGGGCCCAGAGGGTACCGTTCTTGTTCAGTCTGTAAAACTATTGGGTATAGAGAAAAGACAATAGGTTGACACTGGTCAATTATTTAAAGGAATCGTTGCATTCCCTTATCCACGAATGCAACTGTAAGAATAAAATAGTCAAAATGTGGTCAGTATTGCAGTAGGTGAGCTGACCAGGCACATTCACTGCACTCCATTTGCTCCAGGACCTTGATTTACATAAATGAAGTTTTTTTTTTGCTGGGCCACTCCCTTGAGCTTGTGCCAGTCTGATAAGTGTGGCAGAATCTGATGTGGATTTAGCTTATACAGGCATAATGGTGAAATATTTATGTAAAGATTGTGTATAATTTATCATATTTTTGTGTAAATGTTATATAGCTTTCTCAACCTAATAGAATCTTGGAATGTTTGGTGACAGGTAGAAACTGTTAAGTTGAAGTAAAAGATAATCAGACAAACCTTATGGTGATACCAATTTCAACCCCATGTCATTTTGCATTTCAAAATTGTTGCATGCTGAACATTACATACTTACAATTAGTTTTAATTTTTTGTTTTAGTTCCACGGCAGTGGCTAAGGGGATTTAATAATAGCTTGTCTCAATATGAATGTTGATTTCATGACAAATATATACATATATGAAAACCAAATCAATTCTATACAACTCAAACACCTGCCTAATTTTGACAACTTCTTTATTATTCTTATAATTTTGCCATATAAATAAACTCCCCTTGATTGCATGGACTTATTCACTATTCTAAACACAATTTTTGCAAATATTTTTCACTCATGCAGATTACTGGGTTCCCTGTTTCACATAATATGTATACAATTTAACATCACCTTACCATCAGGTATAGGTAAGTTTTAATACCCTTTGAAAATAACTCGGGTGAAAAATTACTGTTATATTAATTCATCAAATGGAACATGTTGTGATAATCCATTGAAATGTTCACATAATCTCAGTTTCTTTTATCACATCCAGTTGTGTTGATTGAATGTCTCATCATTATACAGTCAAATATAAGATGGCCGTGTGTAGGTTTTTATGATCTTCTTAATGAACAACGGAGATATAGTTAATGTTTTAGAAAAAATTGCATATCTCCCTTGTGTCAGATTGGCAGGGCCTGTATTTTCTATTAAATCCCCTTTATCTTCTTCTCCTCCTACTCCTCGTAGGGCTCAATCCCAAAGAAACTATAGTTTTACCTAGATACATCCAACTCCATGGGGACTCTCGCTGAATGCAACCAGATTAACACACATCCTCTCATTTCAACATACTTGTATAATTACCTGCTTTTCTGTATTGTAATAAAGGGCAGGAGGCATTTATCTTACTGCATTCAGCAGGAGTCCCTGCAGAGTGGGATTTATCTATGCAGAACCATAGTTTTATTGGGAATGAGCCCTTTGACTCAGTTTGTTGAATGGCGAGAACAAAAGACCTGGGTGTGGCTGGCCTTCCATATCTACACACCACACGGGAAGGCAAGATCCACCGCCCTCTTCAAGCTGCCCCTTCCAATTGACCCAGCAGATTTTATATCTGCTACTTGAATAAGGATCTCTGGTAGAGAACATAATTTCTCCATGTTTGGGTCTTTTCTTCTCGGCATCCGTATGTGTTGTGGTATAAGTCACGTACACCACTTGTCAGCTAGGCCCATGTGACATCCACTCGTGCCTCGCGTTCGTGTAAATCACATGCAACTCCCTGACAGGTGGTGTTTCATCCCCTCTTTAAATCTCCTCCCACCCTCGTCTCAGTTCAAGTCTTGTTCCTTGGTGTAGGAAGTTACTAGGAACTTTGTAGAGCATTGTATCTGTTGCCTAGTTCCAGCTGGGGTCCTTTACTGGAGGAGTCTTCTGTCTGTTTACCACCCATTTTCACCTTAGTAAAGTCTCGTGCTGGGGCCTCCCTGCATTTTGATAGAATAGTAAGATTAATAATGAGATAAAATAGAACAACATTAAATAACTTGTTTTAAATTAGGGCCACCACAGACTTATGTTTGCTGGGCCCTAAGTTTAAACAAACAGATTAATCAAATTTACAAAATCTTATGATAATCAATGTAGGCTGCATACACATTTTATCTCACTTGGGCTGATTAGAGACATCTATATCAAACATTTTCAAATATTCCAGATAAAAAAATAACACTCATTCAGAAAAAAAGTCCTCCTTGTTGAAAATCCACCCTCCATTACCTGGCCGGAGGTGCTTCGCCTCCAAGCGTCGGAAAATCTTCTTCACTTCTTAAATTTGGTGCTTCTTTCTTTTTTCTCCTCTGTGCTGCTAGAGAGACTGGAGTGATGACTGGACCGGCGGCAGCTGATCCCCGCAGGCTAGGCGGAACATACTTCATTGGTTTGGCAGGCTCTGAGGGGGACTTCTCTTCAGGCTCTGGTTCTGGCTCTGGAACGGGTTCTGGAGTCACTGGCTGAGCTGTAAGAATACAAGTGTATCTTATTTTAGAAGAGGTGTTACAGGTGTTAGAAGAGGTGTCATGTGGTCAAGTTCACAGTACAGCAGTCTAATTTGGTTCACCTAACCAAAAATATTCTGTATTCTTCACTTTGAGGTTTTGCATTGGCAGGGGTATCAAACTGCATTGTGGGAATATTGCGGGTAGGCCTGAACAAAACAGCCCTAAACTAACCAGCTAACTAGCTCACACTGCTGTCACCAGTTAAGCCATGTACAATCTTCTAATTGATCAGTAATTTCTTCCAATATGACAAAAAACTGCAGTGCTTCAAATAGCAGAAATGACAGGTTTTATGATAAGTTTTAACAATAGAGCAATTGCCACGCATGTGCATTATCAAAAAATCTAGTTGGTCCTCTGGCTTTTCAAGCAGTCTTGACTGGTCAAGGGAAAGGGGGGGGGGGGTTTCCCCATGTCTGCCTACCAATTACCTGGCCTGAAATATTACCCCCCCCCCAAAACTGTCCATACCTTTCAAGCCCCCCCTCCCATTACAAACTTATCAAGCCACTTTTCCCTGTTATATTATACACTCATGGGGCCGCTCTACTGTATATCCTCATTACCTGGCCCTCCACTGCTGTCGGGTTGTGTTCTGTTCCAGGGTCCAGCACTTCCTTCTCGTCTCTCACTGGGCTCTCCATCCTCGTCCTCCTCCTGTTCCTCCTCCTCCTGTTTACCTGCTTCCTCTTCTTCTCTAGAAACAAGAGACAACAACAGTATTGAATGCTTTTAACTAAGGGCTCGTTCAGAATAGGGGACTAAGTAGTCCGAGTTTCAAATGTGGCTGACCCACTTGAACACTTACCCATGGGATATCTATTCAGTGTCTATTAGCGGATAAGACGGCAAGCTTTGTAGTGGATCACCATATTTGACCCTTGGACTAGTTGGACTCTATTATGAATGGGGCCTAGGGGTTCATTCCCAATGGAACCACTGTTCTAAGAAGATCACTCAAACACTGGGAGGTCTCTTGCTGAACGCAATAATATTTACATGCATCCTCTTGTTCCCGACATACTATATATATATATCCACCAGTTTTTCTGCATTCTACTCAACACCAGGTGGCAGTGTGCTAATATGTTAATCTGATTGCATACAGCAAGAGTTCCTGCTTGGGTTGGAATGATCCACGTAAAAAGATAGATTATGTGTACTTTAAGTAATACTATGTCTTCATCTCAATCCATAAAGATAACAACAGACCTGTATAAGGAATGTAGATAAAATCAAATTCTGATACTTATGTTGTAAATTACCAGATTCAGAACAAACTGACATTGCAGATTCACTCTGAGAGGCAAGTTCAATTTGATGGACACAAATTTAACCACACAAGTTCCCAATGAATCTATTTCATACGTATTGGTATTGATTTTACTGGATAACAAGGGAGATAATTTCGCTGACAGTATTGAATGTTACACAACTGAGCTTTTGTTTGCTTTAGTGCACATGAGCAAACTCTGGGACATTACATGTATTTACCTTGTTATTTGTAATTCTTTTATCCTGAGCCCTGATAAATCCTTTTCTTCTTCATTTACATAATCTATCCATTCTTCATCTTCCTGGAAAGTAAATAAAAAATTGAAGTCTTCCGCACCCCTTTCTAATGCACTTGTTTAAAATGTTAAACAGTCCGTCTCAATTTTTTTGTAGGCCTGCTGACTCATTCACTAGGCCTAAAGGTATAAGAATATACTGGCTGAAAGCAGTGACAGTTACCAATGACTGTGCATTTATTGAGTGGCTTGAAAAATGTTGCTTATTTCAATCACTAACTTCAACAGTTGACAAGCTTTTGTATTGAAATATTGCACATATTTTTGATACATTACTTTTGGTCAACCTTGAAAATTTAAGTGTTAAAATAAAACAGTTCAAATATTTTCATCAAATAAAATACAATTATCAAAACACACACAGTCATCCGTAAGATGTCACAAAGGCTTCCAAAAAGTACTTTTTTTACTTAAGATTTTTATTTTTTGTTGTGCCAACACTAAAGAAAGAGTGATGACATTTTCAGCATTTATAAAAAACAACTTTCCTTAAATATCAATTTTGCATCTTCACAACTGTTGAAGGTATTGAGCTTTAACATTGGTAACTTTTTTTATCTAACTGACTGATAAGATCCTTTATTTCTTACATTTTAGTCAATTATATTACAAGCCCAGTTTCAGTTTGACAGGCAGTTGTCAAGGGGTCCCGTGTTCATGTTCCAGACTGATAACATATTCCTTATTATCTATTACAAAGTTACAAATAGTTACCACAATAATGACCATCTTAGCCCCGAATAAATCAAGGTCCGATAAGCAGACCACGCCCACTTTATCAGCATTTGGTCTTAAAAGTTTCCAATATTGTAATGATAAAACAATTATAAAAACAACACTATAAGTCATTGAGATAAGCTGTCCTATCACTGGCATTCTACCTCTAGTTACTTATATAGAATCAACCCCTTGGCAATATTCTATTTTTAGCACAATGGTTACATAAGTAGGTGTTTTATTTAAGTCTGATAAGGTTCTATAATAACACATTTTAACTATATCTCAACTGGTTATAAACAATGTAGTTCGTTCAAGGTTTCAGGCAGAATGCAAAAATTGATAATGAGCCGACTAGATAAATGATAAAACGCAATATCCATGAACCATAGAGAAAGTTTCAGCGCTCAAGGTCTACCATATGTCGTGCTTAAAAAAACTGCCAATCTAAAATCAGACAAACATCTGACAAAACGTACATTTATGTAATGAGCTTTGTTGCTTTTAAATGTTGAAAATATAGTTGGAGATTGAAACGGCTAAACCAACCTTCTTTTCGTTCTTGTCGCCTCCTTCTGCTGATTCTTGCTTCTTTTTCTTCTTTTTTAGCTTTTTCAACGACGTTTCCTCTTGTTGTCGATCGAGCAATTCATCCGGTGTCAATTTTGACTTCGATTTCTTCTTTGTCTTATCTTTTTTGGCAAAGAAATCGTCAAGGCTTGCCTCTGTCATTCTGCCTGTTTCGTTCAACCAGACAAAGTTAATTCCCAGTGCCTTATTTCTTACACTTTAGTCTAAAATTATGTCTTTATGGATCCACATTGAGCATGCCCGGAAATGACTGTTGCGCAAGCGCATCTTCGAAGCTAGATGGCGCTGTTCATTAACAAGATAGTACAATAGGATTTTTTTTTATCTCTCATCATAAAATAGTTTGAACATGAGATAAAAGAGAAAACAGAAACTGGAGATGAATATTGTGGCTGTTGGGAATAGAAATGAAAGTTGTATCTTTGATTTGGCGTGACAGCACAGATGGCGCTATCAATAATAACTGTGACGTCATGCATATTGATCTACATTTCCAATACAGCAAAGGACAGGCAGATAACNGAATCAATACAACAAAGGACAGGCAGATAACAATAACCGATATTTTTGGAGAGAGAGATTTCCGTGATGCATGAATAACTAATTTAACACAGACTACACCAGAAAAAGGCTGTTGCAGACGGGTGGAAAGTGACCAAAGAAATCTTCGAAAGAGGCTAACTATGAAATTGTTTTAAACCATATTATATATAGTGATTGTTATATTCTACTTTTTTACATAGACTCAATCAGTTTCATCTCTGTCATTCTGCATGTCGCACCTTTTTTAAACGCATAAGTCACACAAAATATAGTCATTTCAATCATGAGGATTACTAGATGTTTTTGTCAAATTGCAAAAAGAGCCATCAAAGTTGTTAACAGCGAATCTGCTAATTATATTGAAAAATATGGAAAATCAAACCCGACGGCACTCACCTTAAAGGGATACGTAAAATTCGGTGAGTGAATCTTCCTTTCTCTTTCCTTTTTTTCCTTTCTTTCTTTCTTTCTTTCTTTCTTTCTTTCTTTCTTTCTTTCTGTCTGTCTTAGATATTTCCCTATATCTATATTTTTATTTGTATATTTAACTATTTACTCATGTATGTATTATATTCTAGTCACATATTTTTCTTTCATTCACTAATGACACTACTGCGACAAATCGATCCTTATCTTTACGAAAACACGGGCAATATATTTCTTGCAAAATATAATACATTATTATTATTATTATCATATTGTAACCCCACCCCTTCTAAAGTCTTATCTAAACGTGTGTCCTATTTCACCTCCAACCTCATCTTTACCTCCGCCAAGGAGGTTGTTTTCACCCCTGTTTGTTTGTCATCAAAATAAATCAAAAAGTTATGGATGAATTTCGATGGAATTTTCAGGGTAGGTCAGAAATGGGCTAACTTAGAAGTGATTAGTTTTTGGTGGTGATCTGGATCAATAATCAATCAATAATAAAAAATAAAAAAACTAAGTTAAAGACCGATTTTGATGTAATTTTCAAGAACTGTCAGAAGTGGGCCAAGGAACAGACGATCAGTTTTTGGTGGTGATCAAGATCAATAATCAATAATCATAAATAAAAATAGCTAAATCATTATAGAATGAAAATTTAGGGGTGAAATGGCATTGGATGGAGACTTTGCTGCCCTGGCGGAGGTCTGCGCTCTCTGAGTGCTTTTCTAGTATTTTAATATATTTACAAGCAAAGAAGTAGGCCTACAATGCGTACTTGTGGCATTTTTTACTGCAATAAGGACCAGCACTGTTTATTGTAGGCCTATATATATATATATATAGATAGATAGATAACCGTGTTTATGGCACAGTTTAACGCAAGAGATAAGTGTACAATGTAAATATATGCACCGTGATTCACCAGCTATCGCTTCACTGTCTGCGTACACCCACGTACCCTGGGTGTCAGAGTTCACTGGAAAGTTTCCAGTAACTGAAAACGGCAGAGGTATGCTAATATTGTACACTCGGGGTGCTTGACCCCGTTAACCTAATTTTTAGGGTTAGAAACTGGCCCACATGCGACGTCATAATTATGTTTACGACCCTTGCTTATCGAAGGTCATGCATCTGCGTCCTTCGCACATACCAACCGCGGTATATAAGAGCCCCGACGATAATAGCTACCTTGTGATAGGTGACAACACTGATCGAGAGGATCACGTATACCCACTAGGGTGAGATCGGGTGAAGCACAGAGGAAATATTTTTAAGTTTCTACCAGATGATTCTGTAGCAAGATTTCAAAGGACTGAGACAAGATGAAGATTTCGGGAAGATTGTTAGCGACTCTGGCTCAGGGATGTGTGCGGAGGACGACGGAGAGGGACCATTTGGCGCGTAGATTCGAGTTCTATGCTTGTAAACACAACCCAACGCCGCTGACGTTAGGAGGATATCTTAAGTTCGGTGGGTAGATATATGCTTGCAATTCACAGGCAAAAATTACTGCAGGATTGAAAGAGGCTCAAAATCGTTAATATTGTTGTCATTTATTGTTTTGGAAACACAGCTACTGAAAAGTCTTAGGAGTAATATTGTGGCGCAGCTTACAATGTTAAACGTATGGAATAACTTTGTTTAAATTAAGTCTAATGTTAAAAAGGAAAGTTACTTTTATTTATTTACAATGATATTGGTGGGTTGCGACAGTGTCCGCGATACAAGACACAGAGCAATGTCAATGTAGAAAAATAAAACAAATAAAATGCCCGTTCCATTTAAAAACGTCGAAAACATGTACGCATATAGTTCGGTGGTTACTTTTGGTCAATGTTGTTTTTGTCCAGTAATGTTTATTTTGAGAAAAATTTTACTAAAACTCCGTAATCTGTCAGACATCTGGATGAAAACATTGATGAGGTGAATAGAGAAGGTGTGCCGCTCAAGGGCACAATTCAGCAAATGAGAAGAGAGAACGTAGTTTCAAGGTCAATCCATTGACAAATCAAGATCAAGTGTTCTGAAAACACCCACTGACCTTTGAAAGTGTGTCAGTACTTTAGGTCGCCATTGTCGGTAACACTGCAAGGACGTTTGCGTATCATCTTGCGGATTTTCCTCATTTGATCTGTTTTATTGTCTGAATGGGTCTGGAAAAACACTGGATTTGGAAGAGGACTATGTACTGTTGTCTTAGACAGAGGGAACCGTCTATTATACGCAGTTTTAGTCAGATTAGTGCAATAGTTTATCCTTTGTTTTGATTTGGAAATCTGATTCATTCATCGCGACCAACAAAATGATGAAGTCCGCGCTTCTTCGACCCACCAGGCCGTTGGGTTTTGTCAGACGATTTAGATGTCAGCCAGCAGCCATCAGTGTGGTGAAGAAATACGCAGAATTCAACCCAGCACCGCTCTCGCTGCGAAATCTATTAGATTTTGGTAAGAAAGCATACGACGCAAAGCAGAGTCCAAAGTCCAACTGTGTTTTGCCGGCTTTAGCCTCTTGCACATCGGTCGACGTTTTCATGATTTGCGTGCTAAATCCTATTTAATTTTTATGAATGTTATTTAGTTTAATAATTGGAATTGAAATAGAATTTGCAGTTATATGTTATAATTTACTTTAAAATAAATTCCAGGAAAGTTTTATTTATTTAATTATTTATTTATTTGAGCGACAGATTTATTGTGTATGCCTAATTTTCATAATTGATAGGACTGTTATTGCACTGAAGAAAGACTATTATTTATAGGAGATAGACATGAAAGCTTTGAATTTATTAGATAAATTACAGGTCTGACATGTATAATACAAGTGCACATTTTTTCTGATTCAAATATTTTGTTTTCAAAAATATGACACCTTCACAAGAATTTTCAAAACACTAGGATAGATTTTTATTAGTTTACAGATTTCCACAGAAAGTGCATTTGTTAATTCTGTAAATCAGTCTTTTAGTGGTCTTGCGTAAAGATTTCTCTACTTACACCTTGGCTGCACTGTATGTGAAAGAGCGCAGTTGGACAGCTTATCATGACCAGCAAACAAATATTAACATGTCAGCTGGCTTAGGTTTTAGGTAAACAAATGCCAGGTCATCGGTTATGTAAGAATTTTGTACACTGTTTGTGAAAGATGTTATTTTGATTGAATGCATATGTTAATTGCAAATGTAATGATGCATTGTCGTGTTTTGCAAAATCCAAATATTAACTTGTGACCCCCCCCACATCCCATAAAACTTATGTTAGGAGACCCATAAAAATCTGTTAGGAGAAAAAAAAATTCTGATGCAAGACACACACAGTATATATGCAAACCACATTTATAAAAATGATTTGTTTTTACAGTGGAAAAAATTATATACTAGTATTTGCGAGTTAATGAAATTGGGTTAAGTATTTATATTATCTCATTTGAATACTGCCTGACATGCAATATTGCTTTCTTTCCCTTATCAACCGGTTTGAACCAGTTTGAACTAGTTCTGAGGCCTGGGGCGCCAGTTGCATAAAATAATGGAAGTTATAGCTGAAACGTTTTGTTCTGATTGCAGTTCAGAATAAACATATGCTTTTGTTTTCTATAGTAAAGTAACCATTGGTCTAAACTGCTGGCTTTTTTCTATCAGAAAATGGATATAGCTCATTTAAATATACTACTGTAACAAATTTATATTACTGAATAGTATTTAGGTCTTAGTTCTTTATTAGGCGAAGGGGTTGGTCTTTAAGTTAAGACCAATTTTGTGTCTTAAAGCGCTTTTGTGGAACAAGTCCCTGACCATAAATAATTTTCAACTGATCAGTCAGAAGTGAGTCATCCTCCAGTACAGCGTAACTAATAGCATCAGCATTTTTTTTTTTTTTTGTAAAATAGATTTTGTGAGAATTCAACATTTGCTTTCTAGTCACAAGACTCGTCTTATTCATCCCTGTGCAATAACCAGTATTGAACTACTCATATATACTTTGTACTTATGGTAATGGTCTTTTTTCATAGCATATATGCATGGATAGATATATTGACCCAGCTATTTCTATGCACATTTGTGTTCTCAGACAGATAAAGAAGGAAAAAAACTAAAAAAGGACCACTATTATAATAGATATATAAGACTCAATATACAAGTGTTGACTGGATCTTAGATAAGATGCACATGGTTGAACTTTTCATGAGGGGTTTGCATTGTTATTAATTGTTATGAGAGGTGAACTTTGTTAACTGGAATATGGCTTATCATTCCAATCTGATACTATGTTATCAAGGTGGTTCTGCTGTAAGCTCTGCCTTAATTATTTTGTAAGGCTTATAGAGGTTACGGAAGTTTTTGTGCAATGTGGCATTCACTTTTTTCCAGATTTGATGCAAGAGTGCAAAGGGGTCCAAAAGTTGCAGTTCTGTTAAATGCTTAATCCGTAAAACTGTATACACAGATGGCTTTTCACCCTAGCAACACTAATTTGTATAGTGCCTGATGATTTGCATAGACTTCGATCTTAGGCAATGTCATGAAAGAATACTTGTTGTGAGTAATTGGGCAAATTTTCAGATTAAGAGAAGTTTGAGAGTCGTGACCCGAACGTGTAAACACGCCAAGGCTATAAAAAGCTGCGTGCCATGGTTTCTTTCACATTGAGTCACGAGTTTCACCTTAGACCACCTTGGCATCTCTCTCTTTTTTTTTTTTTTTTTTTTTAGTCAAGCTTGGTGAACTAATTCTGTTCTTCCTGGTTGTTCAACAATGCCTGTATTTTCTAAAAATCTTGAATGTTAAGGAAGAGAGATCTGAAAAAAGGAGATTAATTTCTGTCTGTTTGTGAAAGTTCATGAGGTGCATGCACACTATGAGAAACGTGCTTATCTGAGCGCGACCTCTCTGGCATTTCTCCTTCACAACTCTGAAGTCATTCTGGGATCCATGGAGCAATTGTTTCAAGGGAATCAGATATTGCAAAGCTGGTTTATTAATCTTTCTAATGTTTTCTGACTTTTACAGAAAGGTTAAACCCATCATGTGTCTGTAAATAGAGGCTTAACTGATAATGATATGCGTGTGGTTGCTATTAAACTTCTTGTAGAAATGTTTGTACCAGTCATCAGGCCCTGTAGTCTTTTTTTCTTAATTTGTAAAATAGGAAAATCTAACAAAAAGACATTGACTTCTTGACTTCATGATCGATGATTTAAGCATCTGCAAATTTTGGAAAAACAGGATACTGGAGAGTCATGGTTGAAATTGTGAGTTCTGAAACATCAGTTGAATCCATGAGACATTCCTGTCTTAATTGTGTCCATGAGTTAAATGCCAGTTTTTAATTAACAAGATAAATAGTCTCATTACTCTAGATTGTGGATACAATAGGAAATTGGGGGGGGGGGGGGCAGGGGGATATCCCCCTGCCCAAATTGAAGGAATTGAATTAATTGGCATTTCATTAAGGAAGTCTGTGTCAGAGATCTTCTCATTTATAAGCCAGTCTTGTCCTCAAAGGTCACGTTGTTATGTGATGTGAAAGAGAATCAATACTAATAAGACAGCACTGCTCTTATATATTTCGTGTGTGTGTTTTAATCAAGCTACTCCGTCTTACCTACATACCCCCTTAAACAGGGTTTAAAGCTTATTCAATAATGTGCGTGTAGGTGCATTGTGTGTTGATGTCTGTGTTCTTGTTTGGTTAATAAGGGACCATACGTATGAATGATGGCCTACGTGTCCATAATATTGGTTACATGCAGTGCTGAGAGCCCACATGTATAGCCAAATATATCCAAAATGTGCCATAAATTTTTTTATTTCCAGCTTCTGCCCTTATAAATACTTCATCACTGCTTCTGAGTCATAGCTCTGCCAATTGTGTTTTTTTTCCAAATCAACATAATCAGCCAAACTCTTCAATTATATTAAACAGAAGTTGCTTTGGGAATATCGATCAACAGTTCAATTTTTTTTAGTCCCTCGTGTGGCCAAATTGACCAAATTCCCTTTACCTACTATGATTTCTCTCTGTATAAGTCACCCCTCCCTCTTGCAGATATAAAACCATAACCTTTTCACTTATTTTGCAAAGTCATTTCCCATATTTATCCCAATCTTTTAACCATCTTTTTTCCCCCCTCTCACTTCAGGTCAGAATCCATGCCAACAAAAATCGTTCAAGTTCCTCAGGTTTGAGCTTGCTGTGAGACTGGCAAATATGCTGAAAGAAATAGAAGAGCTTCCCAAAGACCTGATGAACACTTCTTCAGCAGATCTCGTCCACAGATGGTAAGATTTGAGAAAAAAAAAATAATAAAACCTACACCAGGACTCTCAGGGTGCAGATAAACACAAGGCAACTTGCCAGTGCTGATATACAATGTTGCTATGGCAACTGCTTCACAGAATCACTTGCCAAGAATTACCCAGTTCTGTGTCTTAATACTGTGGAGAATATCAACCTTGGAGAATACTTTTATATAATGTGTAGAAAAAAGATAATGGTTCATGAAACTTAAAAAAAATGTGTATTTTTCAGGTATGAAGAGAGTTTCAGAGAACTAATGGAGTTTGAGAATGCCAGTTCTTCAGATCAGAGTGTTTTGTCAGAGTGAGTGAACTTTGTGGTTCTTATTGATCAGTTAGTGAACCATTCTGACCTGACAGTATAAATTACAGTAATTCTTGTCTGGTATTTTGTTACAGTAACACCAGCCCATTTTTTTTGTCTCTAACACTCATTTTGTGAACAAACACCTTTTTTTTAAAATGAAATGGCACTTTGTTGGAGACATTCTGCTGTTCTTATCTGATGTTTTATGATTTCAGATTTTCTGAAGCTTTAGAAAAGATCCGAAGTCGTCACAGTACAGTGGTTGAAACCATGGCACAGGTGAGGAAGTCCACCATCTTAGTGTGATAATGCAATCATAGTGACACATGTACAGCAGACACACATCATTACAAATTTATTTATTTTTTAACATTTCTTTTTTTAATTAAGTTAAAGTGTACTCATTTTAGACAAATAATCATAAAAGAAAACAAAGAAAAAAGAAGGACATACACATCATCGATTCTAATACATTCTGGCTATTTTGACTCTCTAATTTCAGTTTGACAATTTCCTCTTCTTTCAATCAAATCACAATTAAGAAGCATAAATGCAGTAACATGCCACAACTCATACAATATACCAGGCAAAGCCAAAGCCAAAGAAGTTCATACTTGTATAGTATGTTTAAAACCTGTGAGACCTAAATTGATAATTACATTAGCATAAATGTGATTATTTGTTGCCTAGTGGCAGCATCGTTTTTGCACATTCCCATGTCCTTGTTTTCTTGCCACAGGGCGTGATGGAACTTGCAAATAGCTCTCCAGATGGCGTACTAGAAGACGCCACTCGAAAAGACATTCAGTATTTCCTCAACCGCTTCTACATAAGCAGAATTAGTATCAGAATGCTCATCAACCAGCATAGTAAGTGTCAGAGGTCATAGGTCAAAGTTGAAGGTCAAGGTTGAAGTCTTAGGATTTTTCTGTTAAACAGCCAATCAGGATCCTTGGGACAAGTTGTAACCTCAAGTCAGCCAATCGGAACACCTGACATATATTCAAGTGGATTGTTGATTGGATGAGTTTTTGTTTTCTTTCAGGTTTTCATTGAACATGATGGAATTCAGTACATTGATAACCTTTGCCATTGAAACACCCTTTTTCATTGCAGTACTTAAAATATGAAACCGAGTCATGATATTGAGTTATTTATCTTAATCACTACTCTGGTAGTTATAGAAGAAGGTTTTAAAGAACTTTTTTCAAAAAGAATTGATTTTTTAATATTTTTTCTTTTAAAATTTTATAAACATGGAATAGTTTTACAGTAAGTTGTCTTGCTCTCTTCTAAACATGTTCAGATCTTAACACTTTGATTTTTTTCATTATTTTATGGATATTATTATACATTTCAAAAATAAGTACAAAGTCTGTGCTGATCAATTCAATTAGTTTCTTGTTTTTTGTATTCACTGTAAGACTTCATTTGTAAGATGGATTTTTTTTTATATTTTCAGTTCTGTTATTTGGGAACCAGCTGAACCAGGAAAGGCGTTATATAGGGTCCATAGATCCCCACTGCGATGTTCTGGAAGTGGTTCAAGGTAGGGGAAATGCCAGTTTAAATCAATGATGTTATTACAGTAATAATGATAAAGAAGAAGTGATAATGATGAAGAAGTTTTATTGATTTCAACATGAATTGTGAATATTTTTACAGCTGGAAAGTATGTTTTGATTTTCTTAATTTTCCTCAGGTGCGTATGAGGACGCCAAGGGCTTGTGCGACCTTCATTATTGCATTACCCCAAAGTTGGACATCAAATGTTTTAATCGTAAGTGTTCCTGTAATGTTTATTCTTTTCTGGGTGCTGAAAGATGCTTACCTGGGAAGAGTGATTTCAACTGAAATGACATTGATTAAAATATTGATTTATATATGAAATTTGGGATTTCTATTGAACTTAGCAAAAATCCTTCCTCAAAAAAATAATAATAAAAATAAAACGCACTGAAAAAAATTCATGCTGATAGAGACAGTAAGGTTATTATTATTACTTGTTTTATTTAGCCTATGAGCAGGGAGAGCCTATCCAGATGGTCTACGTCCCATCCCATCTTCACCACATCATGTTTGAACTGTTCAAGAACTCAATGCGCGCCACTATCGAGACGCGCAGTAATGTCACAGATAGTGATCTCCTGCCCCACATTGAGGTGAAGATATTTAAAGGAAAAGAAGACATAACAATCAAGGTAAATGAATAAGGAAGGGGATAATATATATACACACACACATACAATATTGGATTATTGCATACCTTATAATCTGTTAGATAACAGTGTTATATAGTTGCACAGCTGTCAAAATCATTGAAATTATTTTTATATTATTAAAATTACGGAGTTATTATTCAGATAAGTGACCAAGGCGGTGGTTTCAGCAGAGACCAGCTTGACCTGATGTTTAACTACACCTACACCACTGCGTCCAAGCCTTCAGCTGATCACCACACACCCTTTGTAAGTTTACCTCATGGTCATAATGTGTGTGTTCCACCTTAATGTTGCAAAACTTTGTTATATCACTGCTTTTCCCATAATCACTATCACAAGGTACAGCACATATAATACTGTTGACAAAATTATTATCTTTAGAAAGTTTTTAAGTTGTATGTTTTTAGTTTATGAGTAACTCTTTCATTGAAAATGGAGACTGGTGAATATCATTTGTGGCAATACAATGAGTTAAGTTGGATTTTATTTATCATTATTATTATTATTTTCCCTAGGCTGGCTATGGCTATGGTCTCCCTCTGTCTCGTCTGTATGCTGTCTATCTGAACGGTAACCTTGACCTTGCTCCCGTGGAGGGGCATGGAACTGATGCCTATGTATATCTAAAGGTATGGAAGATACAGAATTATATAGGTCAGCAAGGTGTAAGTGACATGAATGTCAAGCACATTTGTCTGCCACTTACACCTCCTGATAAGTGTTGTGTCTGTATAATTTCACAGGGGTTGTCAAGGACATAGATAAGTTAGATGTGTTATATTTTGTATTTACTTGTCGCGGGATGTACAGGGGTGTGCGAGAAAACATTGGGACTACATTTTATGTACTTGACATCTGCTGTAGAACTTAAGTTTTGTCATTTTGTTCTGATGTTGCATATTGCTTTCTATAATTATATGTGAAATTGCATGATTTTTACTTCAAAAAAGTATGTTAAAAGCATTCAAATTGTAGATTATAACAACATATTTCTTATTAATTCACAATTAAGCTCTTTCAAAATAATGCCAATTCTGAAATCATAAATTTATGTCCTTCAGACTCTTTCTCAAGCTGCCAGCGAGCTTCTCCCAGTTTTCAACAAAACTACAGCAAAGTACTACAATTCCCCCATACCTGTAGCTGATTGGAGTAACCCCAGTCACACCACTGGTAGGACTTGTAATTTAGTCTATTACATGTGATAAGATAAGATAAGATTTAAAAGTGCGTGTCTGTGTGTGTGTGTTTGAGAGAGAGAGAGACTATAAGTGTATACAAGTGGGCATGTCAGAATTAAAACTTCTGTTTGAATTGCATTATTGCTGTATAAATTGCAGATTAAATTATGTGAAAGTGTTTTTTATTTCAATTTGTTCTATCGTCGATGAGTCAGATTTCAAAGATTCAAAGATAAGTTTTAATGTTTGAAAGATGTATTACTTTTTGAAGATATGAGAATTCAACATTTTCTTGTGTTGAAGAATCAAAACATGATGACACTAATATTACAGTCTAATTATATTATTTATTTATTCCTTCATTTCTTTACATGTATATAAATTGAAATGCATATTTTCCATTTTTCAGGTCTCACAACATTTCTTTCAAGGACATACTGCACAAAAACCAGTAACCAGTAGAAATCCACAGTCAAGTCAAACCTAACAAGGACACAGCACTTGTACTTGTAACAACTTGTATATGCCCCTACGTTAAAGAGACAGGAAAATGGCACTGCGGATTATTGGACGCCATTTTCAATCATATCTCTTTGACTATTCAAATATAAAAAAAACATTTCTGTTTTGAGAGAGCACTTGGTAATTATTATAGAACCTAGTTTTCTGCTATCTGAGACTGCTACTTGTATATATTTAAAGTTGTTTGCAAAGCAGTAAATTACCACTATCACATTTCAGAGCCGTGACTGTTATTTACAGTTTTAGTTGAAAATATCATTCTTTACAACAGTTATTTTGCATTGATAAATGTTATATAACAACTAGAATCACATCCAGTTTTATTGAAAGAACTCACAGTTCTACTGTAAAGGTGTCTGTCGATAGATTTTCCATTTTATTGGCACTTAAAGATTAGTTAGGTGTACTTATTTTATGTGATAAAAAAAAACCTTGTGATGCTTGAAAGTATGTAATGGACAGGTGATAGTTAACACTCGTTTCAATAGAACTTATTATGAATCGAGGATTTTGGTGCTTCGTTTCCATGACCAGCACTTTTATATTCATATAATCAGCTAAATGTCTGTGTTCACCATATCACTATCACAAATTGTTACATACGTTTTGAAAATACACGTGCAGGTTTCAAGATCTATAAAAAGTCCAAATGTCAGTTATATATGTATAGTGTAGGTTTAAATGTTTTGGAGCTGTATATAAAATAGATATATGATTTGGTCTTGCATATAATTAAATGTAAATAACATA